TCCCCCCCCCCCCCCCGCCCCACCAGGCCGGGTGACGATGATTTTTCAGTCTGTCGTTACTCCGCGATCACTACTACCCTTCAATCACCGGTCCCCCCGTTATTTCAACCCTCGAGTCATTTCGCGCGAGGTGGAGGAAAGCGAGAGGAGTCGTCCTGTTGATATATCGTCTACTTTACGACACACGAAATAATGATTTACCATGAAATTCGTACTATTGTGTTTTAGACGACTTTAGATTGTTTATATTCTATTTACTTTGTAAAATATACAACACTAATTCCATATTGGAACAACACGCTCGTCTCGTGCTTGTGTACACTCCCTCAACCGTTCTCCCGTCTATCCGTTTGTTCTACCTCTCTAATTACGAGTTTGTTATATTTTAAAGAAATTACTATATGAAAAATCAGGTGGCACGATTCTCTTTTTATTTCAAATACAATGAAACGACTTCTTCCTTTTGCGCTCGAAAAAAACATCTCGAAAATCATAGAGCTTACATTCAAGCATTCAATACGAGCTCGTAAAGGTTCTTTCTAGCCGGACTTCTAACCATATTTCTTTTATCAACAGTAACGAAACCATGTTTAATCGAACTATCTGTTATAATTATCCATCACCTTTTGCCACCTTTTAGATAATTATCTGATTTCGCGTTGGATAATTTTGAAGCCAGTGAAATCATCAACAATTTGCAGAACTTTCGCAAGCCTCTCAACGACACGTAATTAATACAATAATTAAATTATTATACAATAATGAATAATGACAGATCAAGACAACTACAAGAAGAATTAGACAAATTTGGAATTTTTCTCATATCTGTGAATTCGCATGGTCGAAATACTGTCAAGAAAATGATCTTTTCATCTTTGACGAATTAAAAGTTAAAATTACTTATTACTTCAACCGATGATCGATTAGTCACGGGAGGGTAATCACCCTCGATATCCTCTCGTTTCGCACGAGAGTGCACGTATACGCGTGTGCGAGCTTGCGTATATGTGTGTCGGACTGTACGTCCGTGATAAAGCTGCAAGCGTGGAGGAAAGCTCCATCGGACATGCGCCAGGCTTTCTCTCCCTTCAGGTACTATGAGCGGTGGTGTCTACGGCGGTGGTAAGTACGCCGCGCTCCATAATTATTCCGGGCTAGAAAGAACACACGTTTACACGGGTGTGCATAATTCAACACTAGCCGGCACTCTCGATTCTTTCGTCAGACGAGGTTGGTGCTATCATCTTTGACGTCGGACATCAGAGCCTTCGCGTGGGATATGGCGGCGAGGACACGCCGAAGGCCGAAATCCCGACGGTCCTCGGGGTGTGGGAGTACCCGGTCGAGCCCGGCGTCGACGCCAGGAAGAACTACAACATGGACGTCACGGCTATCCAAGTGCGAAAGAAAGGTATGATATCAGTGCGTTTTTTTTACAACATAAAAATGTAATTATGTGATCTCTTAGAACGACATGTGTTAACCGTCACGAAATCTCGGTTGAATGTTACAATTTACATTTTATATGTGCTTTTTAATGTGTACGTTGCGAATAAATTTTCGATTTTATCACGTGCATGCGCGCGTTAAATCTTCTAAATAAACACCGTTTAATGTTGTGTGTTTTATAATATGTTTGGAACATCGAGCGGCATGAGCAATACTTCCAGCTACAGGTTGTTAACAGTCGGTTGTTTGCAAATGAAACATTTTGTATGAGATAATCGCTTTCATTATTTTTGTGACTTACATGTTTTGTTTCAGATATGGAGATAGTGAGCCTAATGAAAGACGGTATGATCGAGGACTGGGACATGTTCGAGCGGTTGACTGAGTACACTTACCAACAACGGTTGCACGCACTAGCCGAACACCATCCGATCCTGATGACCGAGTGTCCTTGGAACACCAGACTGAAGCGGGAGAAATTGCTGGAGCTGATGTTCGAGAAGTTCAACGTGCCGGCCATGTATATCTGCAAGAACGCCGTGTTGGCTGCTTACGCTAACGGCAGGTCCACGGCGATGGTCGTGGACAGCGGTGCCACGCATACCAGCGCGGTGCCGGTTCACGACGGTTACGTCATCACTCAGGGAATCGTCAAAAGTCCCTTGGGGGGCGACTTCGTCACCATGCAATGTAGACAGTTCTTCGAAGAGAAGGATATCGAATTGGTGCCGGCTTGTCTTGTTGCCAGCAAGGGTAAGTGACGTCTCGCGAATGGTGAAAACGTAGAAAGTATTATAAAACATTCATCAACGATTACAATTTAATCCTTAGAGTCACAGCGGGTCACCGAGAGACTCACCTACATTTATTCACATTTTATTATTTTTTTCATAGAATTTAAATGATTTATTTAGCAAATTTGTTATTTTTATATTTCTCAAACATCATGGGAGTTACGAAAAATAAAAAATCTTGCTTATTGTTAATAATATGATTGTTATAAATAAACAAAATGGTAAAAATAGGGTTTTTTTACGAATAAATTTAATTTAACAAAAACTATTAGTTGTGCATTTATAGTATATAGGAGTTTTCAGAGTCGCTGATTTTGAATCTAAGATTAGTTTTGTCAAATTCAAGATAGCAGATGCAATATAGCGGACGAAAATACGAAAAGTGACTTGATTTGGACGAAAATCAGTACTTGGAGGTTTTCGGGGTCGCTGATTTCGAATCTGAGGTTAGTTTTGTCAAATTCAAGATGGTGGATGCAATATGGCGGATAAAAATACGAAAAGTGACTTGATTTGGACGAAACTTGGTATTTGGAGATTTTTGGGATCGTTGATATCGAATTTAAAATTAGTTTTTTATCAAATTCAAAGTGGTGGATTCAATATGACGGACAAAAAACAACTTTTCTTTTCATGAAATTGCTTGAAAATTGAGTTGCTTACGATTTTTAAGGCCAAAACCAATTTTGTCAGCAAGTCTGGAGTACAAACTCCTTGCGTGCTTCGGAAGCGCTTCCGTGCACAGGTCTGTTGTATAATATCGTACGTTCTACATACTTCATTTCTATACTTCTTTGATACTACACTTTTCGTATTTTAAATCCGCCATTCTGAATTTCGATATTTTAAGTTCATAATCAGCGATCTCAAAAACCCTTGAGTCGCTAAGTTTTAGGGTAAATTCGGGTATAATGGCCATACGGAAAAGATGGCCATAGGCTGTAATTTCTCTAATAATTGCAAAACAATGCGTTTGTGTAATCAGTCACAAAGATAATCGATATTTATCATAGTGTATGTATATTTTTCGAAATAGCAATGTTATGAATATTATGCTATATTTTTATTTTCGACTGCCTATAAAATTTCTCATGTGTTCACTAAAACTTGCTGTAACGTCGAATAAATTAATTTATCGCAATCAACGTTAGATATGTGAAGTAGGTATATAAATTGTAATATAACATGCATTTTTATTTCGGTTTTACTATTTGTCTATAAATATTATGGCCGTCTTTTACTCACATTTTGGTTAAGATAGCCCACTGTTCATTCTATGAACATTTATAAAACAAAAGTCGTTATGTTCCAAAAATTATTTTCAATATTATAGTAATTAAATCTTATGTGCAATATGTTTTGATCAAAAAATTGCATTTAGAATTTAAGTTTTGTAATAGAAGTTTCTATTTTATATATGAATTATATTTTTCAAATAAAATGTATTAAATATCTTATATTGAAATAAATATGTTAAATTATGTTTTTTTCATTATTTTATAAAATAATTGGTACAGAAACTTGAATATAAAATATGTATGTCTATTATATATGTCATCTATTTCTTTATGGCTATCTTATCTGAAAAATTTAGGCCAATGCTCATGTTTTGATATTTTTGTAATAAATAATTTTACTGAAGTATTTTCGTTTTAACTCTGACGGTATTATGTACTGTAAGCTTCAGTGAAGTAATGTGCCAAACGCTATTAAAAGGTAACAATAAGAAATGTATTTTTTTTGCATTTTAAAAAAGTATGGCTATCTTATCCGAGTTTACTATTCTAATCAAGTTATTTTTCACATTTTGGTCCGCCATATTGAATCCGCCATTTTGAATTTCGAAATTTTGAGTTAAGATTCGTAATCAGCGACTTCAAAAACCCCCGAGTCTCGAGTTTTATTCTAATCAAATTATTTTTCACATTTTGGCCCGCCATATTGAATCCGCCATTTTGAATTTCGAAATTTTGAGTTCAAATTCGTAATCAGCAACTCCAGAATTCCCCGAGTAACAAGTTTCAAGAGATTTGTGTGTAAGAAAAAATTCGTGACACAAAAAGGGTTAAGAAATAGAAAGGTATTTGTTAAACACAGTGAATCCTGTCTCGATGTAAACTTTAAATGTAACAGCACAGACAATTGTGATAACTTCAACATAAATCTCTCTTTGTGATTTGATACTTAAACATAAATTCGAGATGTGAAATATGTGTATGTGTGTGAAAAAGATAAATTCAAAGAAAGAGAAAATATATGAATTCAAACAGTTTGCAGGAAGTTTCATCGTAATTTTGTACATGTTAATATATTTTTATGTTAAACATTCATGCTTTTTCAGATGTAGTGCGTGAGAGAGATCCTCCACGTTGGTCAAAGCGACCTGGTTCTCAACCAACGTCTTCCTGGATGAGTTACATGGTCAGAGAGGTGCTACAGGATTTTCAGATGAATTGCCTGCAGGTATCAGATAGCCCCTACGACGAAGACATGGCAAACACTTTACCCATGAAACATTTTGAGTTTCCGACCGGGTACAACGACGACTTTGGATCCATCAGGCTTATGATACCTGAAGCTCTTTTCGATCCCAGCAACGTCAAAGGTGTGGGTGCTAGTATCTTAGGGGTTGGTCCTCTGGTCACCACGAGTGTTGGAATGTGCGACATGGACATTAGACCAGTACGTATTTTTGTGATCAAATTTCTGCCATTCAAAGTGTACTTCAACCGTATTAACTGTAAAGATATTATATAATAAATTTCTGGAAACACTTTGAGTCGATTTCGCGCCTGTAAGCTTTTATTAACATTGCTAGGTAGAAAACAACGAACTGACTTATGTTACAGAGTTTGTACGGCAGTGTAGTGGTGACCGGTGGCAATTCTTGCCTTCAGGGATTCAGCGAGCGATTGAATCGGGACCTGGCCAGCAAAACGCCGCCGGTAAGCTTGAAATTTCAATTAACATCTATCAGTGAGTTTTTATTCCAATTATTTGATTTACGACACGATGTCTGAATTCAATTTTCGTCGAATCCTGCAATAGCGCAGAACAGTGAATTTGTTTGTAGAGCATGAGACTGAAAATAATTAGTGCGAACAGCTCGAGTGAGCGTCGTTATGGTGCCTGGATCGGCGGCTCGATTCTCAGCTCTTTGGGCTCGTTCCAGCAAATGTGGCTGTCACGGCAGGAGTACGAGGAGTCTGGCAAAATAATTTTAGAGAGATGCGCGTAATTCGGCCAACGTGACGAGAGGTATGAGTTAATCGTGGTGCTAGGACCGGGCTAAAGTATCTTTTCGGTTACTAATTATTTAGCTTTTTAAGATTTTACAAACTAACAGTTCTGGCAGCAAAGCGAGCCAGAGAAGTCTCTAAAAGACGTCTGAAAAAAAATTTTACGAGAATCTTTTTATGTCTCTGCAATGTCTTGTGAGGATTTTTATATTGCGAATAATTTCATGATTGCTATACACTGATACGCGTATACACTGAGAAAAAAATTTACTAAATTTCAAAAAATCTTTCTTTGGATGTCCAAACGTTTATTTGGACTGTGAAGATATTTGTTTAAGTAATTATTTTCTAATATTAAATAATTTTCTATTATTAAGTAATTATTTTCTAAAATTAAAGAAACAAATTTATATTTAAAACTTCTTTATTTAATTTTAGAAAATAATTACTTCATTTAAACAAATATCTTCACAGTACTATCCAAATAAACGTTTTTTGAAATTTTTTCTCAGTATAACGAAAGAAAAAGAAATCAACTTTTCATTATTTTCAAACCAAACAAAGAGATTAATTACTGATATAACGACGACGACGTAACGTGATTCTCCTGTCCTCACGAGCAACATTTATCAAATATACGCGGAAACGCCTAAAAATTTAAGAATACTACAAAAACGTTATTCTAAGATTATTCTGAGAATGTTCTTCCGGTTTTCGGAAAGTAATTTTCGACGATGAAAAATCGCAGAAAGTTTTTAATTTATCGTATTTACGGTTTATAAAAGACACGATTGATCGGAAGCATCTTACGTAACACATGAAATCACGGATAGAAGTTAACGAAAATAACATTTTAATTTCGCTTAGACGCTAGTGTGATATAAATATGACACACATGGCTTATAAAGATACAGTTCCTAACTACTCCGAGAATCTTCCAAGTATCGAAAGAAAAGCCACTTCCCGTCAAAGTCATTCCGCAAACAGAAGCGGGTACAATATAGACTAGATCACACATAGAGAATTGCATTAGGCATTTATTTCACTGTAAGAGTAAAATATTCGCTTTACATTGAGACAATAGTAATATCCGTTATCGCGGCTATTCTCCAAGTTATCCTCAAGAAGAGCTACAATATCGAAAAATAGTAAACGTAAATTATCTAACACCTAATATTCACTATTTACAGAAATATTCTCTGAAATACAAAAGTTCAACATTGTCTCATCACATGTGTGAGTCGTGCATCATTACGGTCCGTATTAATAGTTATTACTTAAAATTTGTCCACGTGAGATACTCAGATATCAATTTAGAATTAGATTTGAGTTTTCTATTTAAGTCATACAATATATACATTACATTTGCAATCGCGATTCAATTAAAAGATTTACCTCTAACTTTAAATTAAAATTTGAGTATTTTACCCGAACATCTCACTTGAGTTTCAAATAACAATTATTAATACGGTTCTAAAAGGAGGTTCTTGGGACGAAGTATTTTGATAAAACATAACCGGAGAAGTGTCGATCTGAAAACAACGAAGCGTCATTAAATCGCAATAGCATCGTTTCAAGAAGCAACAATTCAAAGTCGTTTATGGTCTGACAGAAGTCCAATTTCTAATATTCAGAATTCGCGACAGTTTAATTATTATTTCATTTTTTTCGTTTTCTATACAATATTAAATATTAATAGCATATTTGAATAGTATATTAATATAATTATAGCGTAATTTATATATCATATTATACAATATTATATTATTTTGTTTTTATCAAATATAAGATAGTAGCATAAATTATATTAAATTATTTGTTAACAATTTATATAATTTAAAAAAATATATATATATCGCGGAAACTTCTATAAAATTTGTTGGGTTGTTGCTTTTTTGAATCATTGACATTCATATAAACGTTTCGGCAAAAAAGATTATGACACCAGAGAATACTACTCAATCTCTTCGTTGTTCGACAGCCATTTTATTAAAATGGATGTAAAAGTCGTAATACTCAATCACAATATCTCAATCAAAAAATGTACAATGAATACGTTAATATCAAAGTATAAACCGCCATGGTAGTTTGAAGTAGTAATTTTTATATCTAGTCCGCAAACGAATGGACAATGTAATCCAAGAGTGTGTCATTACAATTTTGTATCGTGTCGACTCTCGTTACTCTATCTACTAATACTGAAATACTTTTCGATATCGACACGCGAGAATACTTGTACATTACGTTTTATCGTTGTTAGTCAGAGATATGGTAACGATCTGAAAAACAAAATCAACTATACACAGTCGCAGAATTGACTCGTTCTAGCGTACACTGAGGGAAAAATTAAAATCAACAAATATTTCTTTAATGTGGGTGCCATTAACATATTTATTTAAATCTAAATTCTCTTTATTTAAGCCAAATATTGTTTACTTAAATCAGGTAAATAATATTTGATTTAAGTAAACAGAATTTAGATTTAAGTAAATATGTTAATGGCACCTATCAAAGAAATATTAATTGATTTTAAGGTAAGTTTTCCCTCAGTGTAGAAAGAGAAAACCAGACTACAGTACAAGTCCGAATTTTGATAAACACTATATCTCAGAAGAGATGGACCTACGCACAAATAAAAATTTCAGCGCGATACCGTAGGCCTATAGAGTACAACCAGAAATCTGGGTGCAGTATCTCGAAAGGAATTTCTCTAGTTTTTCACGATGAAGATGCAAACGGTGTTCGTGTGTCACGTACCGTTTATATTTCATGTCACGTGCTGTATTTGACATTATACGTTGTGAGTGTATGTGCGACAAAATGCCCTGTTCCTAGTCTTTTAAAAGTTTGTACCAAATAATACTCGGACGTTTGTAATCAAAAGGACGTGAAGATGCGCCGAGTGAATCTATAAGGTTTCTCTCTAAGCTAGTGCTTTTATAAAATTCCTCTGAAAAGATAATATACGAAAGACAGAGTTTGTACACATCCTTTGTTTGTATCCTTATAAGTTGTACAGGACGACAAAAATCCACAACCGTGCCGCTTTTATCCCGGATACAATTTTTCCCGAGCGCTTCCAGTTGATGTTTCCGCTGTTTTCTCATGTTTTCGCTGACTTTTAGCTCTAGCTAGCCCCCGTCTCACCTTGGAGGATCACCTGAGTCCGGCATATCGATCGCTTTTGCTCGCGCGATCAAGCACTTACGTTCAATCTACGCTGTAATCTTTAAATGTTTAAGAGGTACGTTTTATCCTTCGCCTTCAAACGCCGACGTGTCGCGTCAAGGAACTTTCGAAAGCGGAAGTTTCCGTTTGCTTACGGAAACCTCGTTATCACTTGATAGCTGGCGAGGGTCCGCGATATCTCTAGCTGCCTAATCGCGTCGGCTGCGGTAACTTGCAAATAGCATTGTGCACTGGCATAGACATCCATCCTGCCAACGTGATGCCAATGGAGTCAGCCATCGTAGCAATTCCCAGAGAGGCCTCGCGATCCACTCTCGGGATCTGCGAACGAGAAATTTTAGAGATTTGAGAATCACTTTATATTAATATTTTAATCTTTTGTGACGGATATAACTCTTTTTTCTTTTTTAAACATTCGAGAAGTGGTCTCATTACCTCAGTAGACATCCGATAGAAAGTATTGACGTACGCTCCGCCGCCGAGCAGACCTTCCCACAATACAATAGCGAAAACTATCCATATATTCGGTATGTAATAATAAAGGGTCTCGAACAGAAGGATTATGACGTTGACGAACTGGAAAGAATAATTAATGTGGAACAATAAGTTCCTAAAGAATCGACACGATACGCATTTTCATCCAATTTCCTTATCGCGAGTCATTACCTGCAACACGGACATAATCCAAATCCGGTTGATGGAAATCAAGTTCACCGACGACCTTGAGATGAATACACCTATCTGGTAATCCACTTGTAGCCATCTGTATTGCTGGGCATGTGTCAACCAGATGTTATTGAATTCGACGAGCTCGTACTGCAAAAACATTTCATCCATTTCAACGACTCGCTAGATGAAACGCCACGCGATGATTTACACTGGTCGTAAAACCGTCACGTAAGTAATATATCGTTTTACAGACAACGCGTTACGGTGTGTAAACTCGCATACATTTTGTTCTTAGAAACAGAGAGAAACCAATTCGCAAAGGTAAACCGTGATTGATTTGTTTCGCCGACCGTTCTTCTCGCGTCTCGAACAAATGCAATAAAAGTTTGCAAAGCTGACAGGAAGAAACGGGGAGAGATTACGGTAAAGATAAGTAGACTAGAGACCAAGTTAGAGAGGCAAACAGATATTTTGGTTCATCAGCTAAATATTGTATCTCATGATATCATTACCAGGCCCTGATTGATGAAATACTCGAAGAGGTAAACCAGGGCAAGGGGTATCATGTACTTCAACAAGCCTGGCACCAGGGCGATCTTGTCCCTGAAGGTCTTTTGAGGGACCTTGATGATTTGCTCCTGACTCTCGACGCCGTTCTTGGTGATTGGTATTCTGGTGTGCGCCGGATGCTTCAAGATAAACCAGAATGTGATCGCTTGCAACACCGGTACGATCAACATGACCAACAACGTATGCTCGATGGACAGCAGCATAGTGAGTCCGGCGTAAGACGCAGCGCCAATTACTCCGGCGCCTCCTGTGCCCGACGACCATGTCGAGATTACCTGTCTGCAAAAAGATTGATAACGATCAGTACATTGCGAGTGGTTGAGGAACCGGCAAAAAGGAAATCCAAATGCAGACGTTACATTAAAGGTATCTTTCGTCGCGTTAGTCACTCTATTAATTTATCCAATCGAATCTAACAGGTCGTTACACGTTGATTATCCAACGAGCGCAATCGTGTTATCGCGATTCCCCACGTAGTCTAAAATGGCGATGCAATTTACATAATAGACATTCTAATAATAACCAACACGTTTCGTAAGAGAATGTTCTAATAATAAGTCGCGTGCTAATTCTAAGATATTATATCCTCTCTTACGCTTTACAAGAAACTGCTTAGTGGTTAGTAATTAAATCTGTTATTATGTGCGCACTAGTCATCCAATATGATAACGTATTTATGTACGTGCCGGTGATAAAGTTCCGTGAGCGCGCAAGGGCGTTTTTTATCTTATATTTCTCGCGCACGTCTCACGTCACACGTCTCGCAGCACATGCGTCTCATGCGCGCTGCAAAGTTTATTGTATTTTCCGGCTTTAAAAACTGGAAGGACGGCTCGTCAAGGCGGCTCATTATCTTATCGCTACTTTTCTGGCGCAACTGTCTAAATGGTCTGTCAATACTGCGATTTGATTACTCTGGAAATGTACCCGTGAACCAGCGCGACGATGCTGCGGCGGCTCTCCTGTTTCTTACGTTCCCATTCGAGTGCGCTGTTTCGGAAAATGTTGAGTCAACATAACTTGGATCATTCCTCGAGAGACACTCGCTATACGCCCTACTTTGAGAGACAAAAAAGGAATCAACAGATAACAGCTAGCGTTAAGCGCTCCTTAATAAGCTCATCACGAATCTCTGTCTTTTTTAATACACATTTTATATCTGTTCGCTGCTTCTCGTTTTCCCGTTGGCCGAGAAACCAACGCGTGTTCGAGGCACCGAAGAATTATTTATAGCGCACCGAAACTCCCGATCTGAATTTTACGAGAACCTGAACAGACACACAGACGATTTAATCTATCAGTTCTATCGCTGTTTCTAGGAGAACTATCGAATCGATGGACTGTTCCGATTTATAGACGCAACGCCTATAAAAATTCAACGGCTAATATGCGATTCTGTGGAGGTTCTATCCGCAGAGTATAACGATACCAAATGGAATGCACTTACTTGGGGTATTGGTTACTGTAACTGAGAAGGGTAACTTCACCCAAGCCAGAGGAGAGCGATGTTATGACGACGCCCAGAATGGCGAGCCATTCAGTCGTGCTCAACGATACCAGGAGAAATCCTGCAGCGGAAAATAACACACAGGTAGCCAGTCGAGCACTGTAATTAACGAGTCGATTAATCGATTAGCGTTTCGGCTGACGGGGCTGAGGCCGGCCGCTGCACAACCGCGGGAAAGGACTTACGCGATGCTCCAAGGCTCCGTCGTCCCCGCGTCGTGCGATTTTCGCGCCGGAAGTGAGGTTTTTAATGAAAGTGTGTAATATCGAGAGAAATAGACAGAGACACGTGCTCGGATTTCAAGTTTTGAATTTCGTGATAAATTAATTATCTACAAGATTTAAGTGCTTCTTCGTTTATACAGTCGGCTGACTAAATGTAGGAACACTTTTCTTGGACGAATTTTGCAACGTATTTCATATCCAATACGAAAACATATATCTCCTGAGAATTACTAAAAAAACAAATTCTCCTTTTGGATACAAAATGCAAAACTTACAAAACTTATCGAGAAGAAATGTTACAACCTTTAATTAGCAGATTGTATGAATATTTGAAGAGTATAATTATAACATAAATGTTCAAAGTAAAAAATTACATTAATCTATTATTATATTATCTATTATTATCTATTATTATATATCTATTATTTAATATAATTATATATCTATTATTTAATCTATTATAAAGTATCAATTAATTAACTAATTGAATAAATATCAGAAACTAAATATTTTGTTGCGTGAATATATGAATGTATGATAAAGGTTGCTTTAAATAATACACGAGATATAAAAGCTAATTTATCTTTAAGGAAATGTGGCAGCTTCCGTTGCACTTTGGGTCTGAGTTTACACTTTGTTTTGACCTTATGCTTGTGTAATATTATTAAAAGAGAGTATACGTCATTCAATCGTTACGGAATAAATGGATTTCCCCTACGTCACGTTTGTTTATTGAATTGGTGTTTTTATTTAATTACTTATCGCTTTGTTGTTTATTTATAATTATCACGTTAGCAAGTGAAACATTCAAGTGTGAAATTCTCGCAGATGTATAGGAATTTAAAGTCGTGAGAGAAAAGATTCGAATAATAATCGACGACATGTTGCGCAACGAGGAAAAAAAGATACAATCTAGAAAAGAATGCAAACATTCCGCGGAAAATCACTCGCGTGTCGCGTCACTCAACATCGTAATTGGTTATTATCGAACAAAATGCACGGCGAGGAGTATTTGTTTCAGTGGCTTTGTTTCTCGACAAATGGTCGTAAAATAACGCTGGGATGCGCAAGACTATACCTTGCAGCGCTATGCAAAATAAAAAAGGATACTCACTGCACTAAAAACGGCAGAAACGGTGCAGTAACCTTGATCGCCAACGCGGGTAGAATATCTGCCAAAAGTATGGCACCAGTGGAGACTGCGTTACACGTCCGGACTCCAGGCACGTGTGTTTCCTCTTCTCCCGTTGTGGAATTCTAAAAATATTAGAGAACATTTTCAATTTATTCGCAATTATTTTCGTTTAATGTAAAGCAGCATAAAAAGTATTCTGAGTGTATTACATTTTTTTCAACTTCTCGAAGAAGATTGTAGCTCTTTTGTTTATTCTTTGGTGAATTTTGAATTTTCTCTATATTTAGTATTTTAATTGTATCTTGGGCTGAAGAAATATGTATATATAGACAATAAGTTGGTAACATTTTATTCTTGTATTTCGTCCCTTTAAATTAATTTCGATCATTGCCGAAACTTATTTATTCAAATTTATTATACTAATTCTTAATTGAACATGTTTAACTTAATTGAACGTGTTTATAAAAAGAAATTCTATTTGACGATAAGTAACGTATATACGCTGAAAAACATGGTTTTTGTACAAGTTGAGTAATTTGTCCGTGCAACAGATTAATTCTCGCTGCTCTTTCCAGCTTTATGTAACTTGTGGTCACAAGCATAGTGCATTGGAAGGACAGCGATTGCACAATAATAACAATCTTATGAGATTTTATCGAAGTAACGACTCGTTTCTTCTCAGTCGGGAATTGAGCAGGACGATATAAATCATTGAACATGCGACTGTTTTCCTCATACTCGTTTAAGACCGATAAATTATTATACGTGACGTCACTGGACACGTCATTAAATTATCCTTAACACATATGTTTATTTCGTTCTACTGAACTAGGTCATAAATTGTGACAATCTAATATCAATGCAAATTAAATCGTGCACTCTCAACCTTAGAATCAATCTACTAATATCGTCGCTAGACAATTTTCCTGCAAATTTATTTACTTAGTACTTAAATTTTCCGTCAAGTTGACCTCACATATTGACGAGAGTTTAATCGATACAAACGGCTCAGAACGCGTTGATATGGATAGACTCATTGTATAAAGGCCAACAATATTAATTGACATATTGATCTATATAAAGCTGACTCCAGAAAACTTCCATACTAGTCATCTATTAAATATAATATCATGTCACTTTTGCACTATCGTCTGATATATTTGAATTCAACTCCTAAATTAACGATAGCGAGCCGTTAACATCTTTTTGTCTTTTTATTTAATATTAAATTAAATCTAGAATTGTGTATTGTCTATCATTTTAATTAACCAAAATCTAACATACTATTCGAACGCATAAATCAAAATCAATCTTCTAACAGTACACTCGGTATACATGCTCTTTACACTTTGCATTGTGTTACACTTTCTAATCAAAACCGGTAAGTCTTGTATTTTTCCTTTAATAAAATGTCTAACCGCGGATTTTATTAACGCATTATCTCGCATACCGTTCTCAATAGCGTGATAAAAATCCCACATACGCCTTTATGTAAGTCGTTAGATCGCAAACTAGGGGAAATGTAGGATAAGATGAAAGTAGTTTGTAATTATCTAAATAAAATGCGTTAACTCCGTTGAAAATTTACTGAAAAATTTTGCATCGTAAGTCATCATGAATAAAATCATAGACGCTATTAGCATTTTAATATAAATTAGCTATTATAATATAAATAATATAAATTTTGACAGTATTTTTTTAATATTAAATTCATTTTTTTTTTTAAAGGATAGAGAGAAGCGTGAAGATTCTTAGAATACAAGTAATGTTAAACAATCAGAAAGTTCGTGATGTGAAGACTTTATCATCTCAGAGTTGTGTGAGTACTATAAAACGGTTGTGTGAGTACTATAAAAGTCATATCGCTATCTCGCGCCATATGCTGAGACGAACCCGATATCCGTTGTCAGTCACGCAAAGCTATTATCTTTGAAACGAGTAATAATAAACTGAATTCATTCGTATAAATCATCTGCGATAAAGCGTTCTATTATTTCACAACTCGCACTTATAACTGGATTAAATTATAATTAGATTATAATTATAATCGGATACAATATAATCCCGAATAAATATCTCCTTCACAAATTTTGTCGTGTCTAAAATTAAGATAATCTGATAATCGTTAAGAAATTCGCGACAGGCTAACGAGATTCGCGAAAAGCATTGCTGTTTACCTTGTCGCCAAACTTGCTGTCGAGGATGTCGTGGGCTGCACTCAACATCACGACGTAGCCATAATTGTTGCACAAGCCCAATATCCAAAAAGCGACGAGATTTCGCCATCGTGCCTTCTTCAAGACAGCCTCTTCGAACACGTCGCCGACCACGTGCGAGCTTGTCAAACTGCTCTTACTCATCTCGAGGACTAGTTTCAGGAAGGGTCGTGGCCCTTCTTCCCTTCTATCGATCTAAACCGGCAACTTCGGTTTCTCTGTCGCTCTTTCTTGTTCTCTCCTTTTCGCTCTTGTCCCTTTTTCTCCTCTCTGTTGAATCGTCTTTCCTTCTCCGTCTATCTTTGGACTTTCCCCTCGTCGCGTTCAACGAAATGTCTTCTCTTTATTTCTCCTTCAGACCTAGACTAACCACGTGCGCGCTTGTTAAATCGGTTTTACGTTGAATCCCGTGCAGATCCGCTTCTCTCTGTCTCCCTTGCTCTATCTTTTTCCCTTTATCGATCTGTCTCTTCCTCTCAGACTTCTCCTTTTTCGTTCTCCTTTACTTCTCTCGCAGTCACAAATACAGCTCGTCTTGAAACTCTGCGGCCCAGACGGCTTTGACCTCGCAGTTGCTTCTCTTTTTGGTGCGCCTCTAGAGCGGATTTAGCGACGTATGAAAACTCCGAGAAACTTCTCCACTGCCACTAGGAGCTGAAGAATAATTACACGATGGAAACTCTAAAGGATAATCACACGAAAGTGACGAGCAATTCCTGTTTTGAGCAAGACAGTTGAAGAAAGTGATCAGTACTGACTTGTGTTGCCAATGTTGAATTAAATGGAGCACCAAGTTTTTCCCTTCTTAACTAAGAAAAAGAGACTCTATCGCAATTAATAACTCATCCGTATAATGTTAATTCTATGTTGAACTTGGAAATCCTCCATTGACTCTTCGATAGTGACTATAATTATTTAAATTGATGCATACCCGTCTTCAATGGATCGATGAAAAATGATATATCAGTTTCACAGCTTTTTCTTTCTTGCCTGAGAGGAGAATAATCACTCTGATGCTTCAACTATTAGCAAATCGTTCATGCAACACTGAGCGTCAAGTTCAACGTTCTTCCTTGTTTATAAACAAAGGATGAATATCTTTCTTGGATGTGTAAATACCGTATCTGATCCTGCCGCACGATTTCTTCACAAATCTTTCGTTGATATTCTCTGTATCGATATTAATCGAAAAATTGTCTCGAACGGGACACAACTTCACGCGAATCGCGCTTTTCGTCAGCGCGATATCTCGTCCATTTAAATCCGTGACCTACGATGCACTGGATGTATCTTTCCCAAGGATGACGCGCGCACCTTCGCCGGCAGTTCCCACCTTCAATTTCCTTCTCCCTCCACGATTCCCCGCGAGGAACACGGACGGTGTATCCTCACTGCATTCAGAACTTCGAGAATCTTCTCTGTCTCTCTTTCACGTTGGTCTCCTCCTGTCGGTGCGCGCTGACTGCGTTCGACTGCACCTCGTGTTCCAATGCACTTCCTCTACTTCGTGCCGAGTCAGTGCGCCATTACTTATCAGGATCGATGAATTTCAAATCGCTTCCTGTGCGACTTCTCCGTCGAATAAATCACAGAGAGAATTTCGGGATCGGATGTATTTCTCTTTCCGCTTTCAAACATTTACTATTGACGATAATACTGGCTCGACCGTAAATTTGAAGAACATGCGCAAATCAAAGATCAAGGCTTCTACGTCCACGAAGCTTTCAGACGTCTGCAAACTAGCTTCACGCCTTCCTCCTTTTTATGCGTACTTAGTACGTAGGTTGAATCCTTTGGAAAAATCAGGCGCTGCTAGCGAGCTGTTAATGAGAAAAGCAGAGAGAGAGAGAGCGTGAGTGAGATAATTGAAATTGCAGATTAGACTACGAATCACTAATGAGCAAGCAAATTTAAATCAACTCTGCCTTTTCTCACTTGCCGCATATTTGATACGTTAAACACGCGTTTCATAATAGCGCGTACGTAGTTTTACAAATAACTATTCTACATAACATTGTTTTATATATTTTTTTAAATCTTTGGCATTATATTTTATTTGTGTGTGGAAATATGATTTTTATATTAACAAAACTCACGCTATGATATGTAACAACGACTGTAGGATCACCTTTACGTTCAACTGTCAACTAGCTCCAGTTAAATCATATTAAGATACTTTATCTGCAGTTGGATTGACGATACAGTTTAGCGCGTTCACGCAATGAAAGCGGGAAGTCTACGGCACGTTCTATTCGTCGAAATTTACATCGCACTATTTAAGTTTGTTTAACATTTGAACACGCACAGCGCGAATAACTTAGCATATAAACACGGAACACGCATATTTATGGAAATCACTCATAGAATTTCAATATCTCGTTCTTTATTTTTCTTTTTTTATTTGCGCGAAAAATGTTACGTGCCATGTAATTCGTCACAAAATATTTTTAGAAACGGTATTTTCGTCGTTAAAACATATTCCGTACTATGGAATATTGTAAAACATGAGTGTAAATTGAACACGCGATTGTGATGGAAATACGCGCGCTAGGCATGTGTAGATATGGACGATATCTCTACGAATGTTGGAAAGACTAATGTTAGAACGTTTCCTGCTGCTTTTAGAGAAAATATCCCATACTTGTTATAAGTACTCCAAAATTTCGCTTATCATCATTATTATATCGTGAAATTTTTCCACTACCTGTAATGTCATGTGTGCATTTTAAATCACACAATGTTCAAAGCAATACAATGCAAGTTGTAAAGTACATTTACAAAAGATATACAAAGCTCAAATACAAATCTTATTTTTGGTAAGTAATCTAATAAATTAATTAATAGTAAAATAATGAATTAATCAACAAGTGATAAAATACATTCCAGCACCGATCATACACACGATTTAATTTTAATCAAAAAATCTTCTTTTTTCTCTTGCTCGCTAAGTTGCAGTAAAGCATACCTATTATCGCGCGGCTCTCGAGATTGCTGCTGTCTTTCGTTATAATCGCCTTTATCTCTTGAGCCATAATACCGTTCTCACCGGTTTTCAAAGTGATTCGCGTTGACGACTTTGCTCCCTTGATATCAGCCCACGCGTGACGCATTTAAATCACGAGCATTCACGCTCCGGATGATAGGACCGGCGACTGCAATGGCTGTATCGACTTATTGACGCCGTGGATGACACACGACTGGCGCTCTTTGAATGAGCTGATTGAGTTTGACCCACCTTCGACGATATTCAGAGCGGTGCGATGCAATTATGCGGCGTTATCGCCGTGCCGAGGAAGCTTGCGACTGTTTGAATGAACGAACACACGAAACTCGTCCGGATAAACATTCAAGTGGATCGAGCGAACTGCATAAGCGCTCAGAGACATTATTCCACTTGTTCAATAACAATAGCCAATTATCATTGTCGGTGCAACTGTATCAACAAAATCCATCCGTCGCGTTAACACGTAGTTTGTTCAACGAACGTGACATCTGTTTGGACGGATGCAGTTCTATACGTGTAAGCAATTTCCTTTCTCGATATGTATTAACTGCACTTCCATCGCATTTCTTCGTAGCTTGGATTATTAAGAAACGTTACTTGCAATAAAAGTTGAATATGTAATTATGTAACATTTCGCAACTAAAGACGTCAATTTGACGTCAATTTGACGACACCAAATTGTTGCCAGCGTTATCGCGAAACTGTTAGACCTTTTAAGCGTGAATGTTTAACGACAAACTTTATTATCTTTGCGAAACAACCTTGAATACTTTTATTCCTCCTAAATAAATAGGATATGTGATAATATATTATTACAAAAATTGTCACACGATTACAATATTTTATTCAATTTGACGACACCAAATTGTTGCCAGCGTTATCGCGAAACTGTTAGATCTTTTAAGCGTGAATGTTTAACGACAAACTTTATTATTTTTGCGAAACAACCTTGAATACTTTTATTCCTCCTAAATAAATAGGATATGTGATAATATATTATTATAAAAATTGTCACACGATTACAATATTTTATTTTAATATAATAATAATAATAATAAAATAACGTTTCCTCATTTTAGTAGCAACATTTGTCAGTCACGATTGAATTACTGGGGCATGAAATTAAGAACTGTGCTGTATTAATTAAATTGGCGCTAAGCGATCTCGTTTATCTTGTAATCGCTAGAATCTAATTTCATGAAAGTCTTGTCATGTTACATGTCTAGTATTACTAGTTCTCGTGAAACAAAGGCTTAGTCGCGTCGGTTAGAAGCGATCAACTCCACTACGACGTCTTAAATGGATTAAGCTGACTACAACGCAACATTTGTGACTAAGCTTTAACGCTGCTTACATATAAGCTTCCAAGCCGATCTGTTAAATTTAATAACGGCGTGCAACATGCATAAGACGTGACCAAACATGACCCATATTCAACTAAACACGCTCAACGACGTTGAGAGTTATCTACTGGCCAAGAAAATCGCGAGTTCAATATTATCATAAATTGAAAATTGCACAACTATATCTTTAATATGGATCTTTTTCGGCATTCGAATGGTAACTAGCGAATAGCTCTTCAGTATTGATTCTCTATTTTTCTTCGCTGAGAAAAACACTTAGTTTTTTAATAGCAGTTTAAACTTGGATTTAAGTTTAAATTCTATTCTAACAACGCGTTTGTTTAAACCGAGTTTAAGTTGAAATCTAAGTTTAAATTATCATTGAAAAACGGTACGGCCCTTAATGAAGAAAACGTGACATCTAGTCTAGCTAAACTTTTGAACGAATGACTCAACTGTCATTTTGTCTCACATTAGCGTGCAGTACGATTAAGAATAATAATTAAACGTTTATATTGTTTTTGGATGGTGTAATTTTGTAAATACAAAGCAAAATAGAAGTGTTGATAAATTTATGGGTGAAACTATATATATCATGTTAAAATAATAAAGTCGGAGAATAAATGTGAATCTTGTAACGTATGAAAAAGACACTTACTAGTATTTTTTCCTGAGTTCCAAAGAATCCAGCTAAGAACAAAGTCAAGAGTTTCAAGCGTACTGTTGTTAGGCTATCACCAGCACGTTCACATCAAGTAGCGAAACGTGTCATAACCCAATGGTAATAGCAACTGATGAAATCTCTTGCAGTACGACATCAGTTGTTAGAGATTGCTCCAATTTCTAGAATTTGCAAAATATACTCTTGTAGGAACTCTCACAAACGAGTCCCAAATTGAGTCCGCACGTTCGTAGATAAGATAATAAAAGCTACAATTGAGACACGTGGTCTGACCGCGACAAGAACCAACTTCGAAATAAATAAATACCTGACAAAGTCAGTGGTGTTATACTGTCGACTTAAGCGCGACCACTCGGCGGAATCGACAACAGTGTTCCGTTCCTCGGAGGTTCCGAGCATTCGTAATAAGAAAGGTCTCTTAGTCAGCTTCTGACCGCCGTGCTGGTTAAAGCTACTCGACTAATAATGGTATATAATGCGTACAAAAATAAAATAAAAATCAAATAAAAGAGAGATAATGCAATTATTTAATATAATCGTATAAAGTATCATTAGTAGTACTAATATAAAAAGGAAAATATAATAATAATAGAATATTTTTATAAAACACACTAAAAAGTAATAATATTGACAAAATACTAAAATCAAATTAAGCAAAAGATTGAGAAAATAAGTAATGAACGACAAGAAAAGTTAAGCAGAGTTTGAAGGAAATTTGTTGATTTCCGAAAGAAATTTCTTCGTCGCACAGAAATATAATAAAAAATGGATTAAAAGTTTTAAATTTAAATATTTAAATAATTAATTAATTTCAAATAATAAGAAAAACGAAAAATAAATAAAATAAGAGATATGTATATTTTATTTTAATAACGTAGCAGTAATTACACGATTTAATCTACAATATTATTATTACCAATAGTATTATTATCTTTGCTCACTAGTAGCAGCATTATCATAAAAAATAATATCACTGTGGACATCTATAAGTACATTGCTCTAAATTTACGCGATACGACCAATTAATAAATTCAAACTGTATTTCCTTACGATAAATGTTTCAATAAGATGTCTGAGGAAAATATATTTTTTTCTCTTTTTTTATTTAAAAAGAACGCGTTGATTAGATAGTATTTAATGCGTGTTCTATATGAGACATACTCGAAAGATAGAGATTGATGTCAGTAACACAATACTTCAGAGAAAATGAATAACTAGATAAGATGATGAGCTACATTGTATTCACCTAAAAAAATAACTCAAAGTTGATAAAGTTGAGAGATGTTTCAGATAAAACTATATAATTTTTTAATCAAAGTCCGACGCAAGGTTTCTTACGGAGTTCCAAAGTTACGCCTCGTAACTGAGAATTACGCTTCGTGAAGTTACATGCGCAGCGAAGTAGATATTGTTGGTAATGGTTGAGGCTGCTTGCAGCACTTCACGGAATCGCGAATTGAATCGCATATTTTTACATCACTTCGTTTGTATGGTCGAACGGTATCAACAGTGACATTGCGATATCCACGAATTCAATGACACTTCCTAGAAGGAAAAAGGGGGTCAAGGCATCACAAAGAACCTTCATTGACACATTTCATTGTAACGTTCCATGCGTTAAAGTCACGGCTAATATATTCTGCGAGCATAATACATTCTTCACTCGCGTTTGTCACACAAAGTAGATCGAATCGTTATCGAATGTAATAATCATTAATCGGCAATATCGATGAATAGATCGAAAGACGCACGTTAACAGCACGATGGACGCAACACCGGCGTGTAGATTTTAAGTTCTGATTTCTTTATTCTATTCACAATCTTTTCAGAAGAATAGTGTAATTTATGTAACCACACGTCCACGTGCAATGTCGTAGAAACTGCGTATCCATGACATTGGAATACGATAACCTCTTTATCTTTTCGTGATTATTGTGTAATATATGACTAGCCTACGAAAATGACGCAACATGTATTGCGCAAACGCTGCTTCAGAAAAAAGTAGCACATGTCATATTTAAAATTGGGCATACTCTAGACTTTGTGCTTCTAAGATGAAAATAGCGCAAACGAAAAAATGCGGATACTTGAATGAATTGTTTAATAAACAGAGCAATAAATACAGTTTGAAATATTAGTTGGTAATTGAAATTTTCAAGCATCGATTTTTGTCAAGAGTATTAACTTTTATACTAATTAAACTTCAAAATATATATAATTATTTTCCAACAAATCTTAATAATCTCTCAAATCGATAAAAATGGTAATTAGAAATCAATAAAATGATATAAAATTTTATTCGAATGATTTGTATAGATTTGATATTTCGATACAGATTATGCTTACGTGTCACGACGTATCACGAATATCTACAAACTCTTTCAACAAGATTATCAATGTTGACGTAAATGATTAGCGTGTAACCTCGACGAAGATTGTTAAAAATCTTGAGACGCTTGCTTTCGTATTTGTTTTCGTTATTTGTTCTTAGCTTTCAGATACCGTGTACTAAATACCAATGAGACAATAATAAAAATGTTTATTAGAAAGCGATCTGTCAAACGGAACGTTTCAACAGAAATCGTGAGAATATTCTGATCAAAGTAAAACTTTGTACTCATTTCGCGATTTATTGAGCAAATATGAAGTACTCCTAAACTTAAGATTAAAAGAATAGATATTCAAATTATTACACAAACTTTTAGTAAATATTCCAAACGCGATATGTTTTATTTCAAAGATATTTTCTAATTTCGAATCGTCGTGTTTTGACGTTGAAGGCACGGTAAAGATTCGGTGTAGAATCCACCGTAAACATTTGCTATGGTAAATAGATGTGGTCTACGCGTTCAGATCCTAAATATTTTATTATTTTCTAACACCTATATTTTACACGTGTATGTGTGTATTGGTTATCTGTTGACATTGTTATGATTCACAGTCGAGCCAATAAGTGAAGCTTCATCGAACAAGGATCAGTTAGTAAACACCGAATTGTCTTAACAATCATATACGTCTCACGCGACATGTCGGTTATCGAATCGTTGCTGAATTTTCCTCTTTCTCACGTCTCAGACAATGTCTGTCGATTTTGCCAGAAAACATTCTGCTGCACGAAATGCCGCGATCGCCATGTGGATAACGTGCATCCGGGTCTGAACGTCAACTGTTCCCTGTGTGCCTCGAAAACGCTACCGATGAAACAGTTCGAATTTGAGAAGTTGCTATGGGAGAATAAGAAATTGTTGTCCCACATAATCGACAAGCACCTGCCGTTGCATTGTGTTCTGTGCGAAAATCGGATTGAGACCAGTGAGGATCTCAGGTCTATCGGTAATTTACAAAGTATTTGCATAATACGACCGAACAGTTTGTTTTAAATATTTTTTGCAAATATTCTGAAAATATTTGAAAACGTGGCGAGGTAACGTGCTGTGAAACTTTCGCAAATTCGCCCCTCCAGATACAATTATTTATCCACTGAGAAAAAAGCGGTTGGATTGACAAAATCAGCGGTCATCAAAAAAATATTAGATCTATTCAACAAAATACATGTTAATGCAACAATAAGTTAAAATCTGCTATATCACCGTTGATTTTGTCAATCTAACCGCTTTTTTCTCAGTGTACTTAAACTCAGCTATAACTCGGCTTATTGGAGACCTGCGAAAGAAGAGACTAACAGAAATTTAGTTTCGATTTCGTCTCGATTTCAAATCCTCTCACGCGACGAATATATTAATTTCTCAATCGAACTTTTCTAGGTGTATGTAAATGGTACTCCGAGCATCGTCAGATACTGATAAACGAGAGGTTGCCGGGAACACCTGCGACAACAAGTTTTGATTTGAAGCTGAAACGCAGCCTGAGTGATAACAGTCACGCGTTCTTCACGCCACCCGAGATCTACCGGAACACCAGCACACCGATGTTCATCAGCCAGAAGAACAGCTTGGAGTACCAGACGCCATGTGCACCTAATTTCACTCTGAAGACTCCCAAGACCAACTCACCGTTGATAGCGCAGAGTAACGCGACTTCGAAGATTCAGCAATCGCAAAACGGCGACAGCGACATCAAGTTCTTCAGCTTCTCCCCGAACATGGAGAACATGGAGAATGTAGGGATGACGCCCTTCAGAAGCAACGCTGATGATCAGTTCCCCAGAAGTAATTCCGGCAGGAAGCTGAATATCAAGGAGTCAAATGAGACCGTGCATGGCAAAGCCGAGGAGGTAACTTCAAACGACGACATAACACATCCCTTAAATATGGATCTAACGATGCCCTTCCAGAGCAATGCTGATGAGCAATTTCCTACAAGTAATTCCGGCAGAAAGCTAGACATCAAGGAGTCAAGCGAAACTGTGTCGAATGAAGCCGAAAAGTCTTCATATGACAATTACACAATGTCTCTCATAGATATGGATCTAACGAACATCGAGGACAATATTTCTCAAGAACATACACCGAAGCTAAATGTCGGAAGTCGCGAGGAATCTAGCAGGGCGTCGGACGTGGTAAAGAAGGTGAGATTCTCCGATCAGTATGAAACTCTGTCGAAATTCGGGAACCAAGTGGAATTCTACGTGAAGAACATGACGGAGGAGGGTGACGACGTGTTTCATGACGCCCATGACGTATCGGGCGTCGTGAAAAATACGAAAAGTACAGAGAGCACACAGAATACAGAGAATACGAAGGACGTGAACGACACGAACGACTCGAAGAATACGAAAATTACGAAAGACACAAAGGAGAAGGATTCAAAAGAACAAGATACGGAGGAAATGAAGAATGAAAACATGGAGAATATAAAGGATGCAAAAAGCAACCAAGTCGATGATCAAAAGCGCTGCTTAGTAATGTCCTCGAAGGACTCCTTAGACAACACGGAGATCAATACCTGCCAGGAAAATCAGCAGAATGCGGAGAAGGAGAATCGTGTTGTCGAGGCGTTGTCCAACGGCGTATCAATTATGACTCAAAAAGGTACCTCCAGGATGCTGATGATGGTGTTGGTAGAGAACAACTCGGAGAATCTTAACAACGACCTGATGCCCCTGATCGATTCTGGTCTGAAGAAGTTGGGAGAGCAGATCATATCGCCGTCTTCGGATACTTGTGAATTTTCGAACGTCAATTCGACCGATTATACCAGACATTCCGTCACGAAAGTGGAAATGAATATTTCGAGTGTCGAAAATTATTCTAACAATAGCAACAACGTGGAGATAATGAAAGATCATCAGCAAATAGTGTCAGATTTTCCTTCGTCATCCACAGAAAACGGCCAAACAAGTAGCAATGGTGGGATCCTATCGACTGTCGCGCAAGCTGTGAGATTAGCCTTCAAGAACTTATCTAGTCAGTACACATTTCGAAGATTTCTTTTTAATTTTCTAATCTTCAGTATTTTTAACGCTTTTGCGATTAACATCGAAATGAACAAGCTATGAATGGATATACATCCGACAATAATTGAAAAGTAAAATTCGTTACTTGTTCATAGATCTGAAAAACTTAACATTGGAGGCGTAATTTCAGGTGTGACCAGCAGTGTTAATAGTTCCCAAATGGTTCAACAACGACAGATTGTCGGGGATACAATGTCTTTACCAGAAACAAATATCTCGTGTAATCTCGATAACAATCTCGAGGTACGTTATGGCAAACGGGCTCGCGATGAGGTATCCTCATGGGTGAATCCAGTTCCTGTTTCATTGGACATCAAGAGCCCCTTGCCAAAGCGCAAAAGAGGATGGTACAAGATTAAAGGACGTCGGCCGATCCGCAGCGTACGAAATGAAGCTACTCAAGTGATTTCACCTAGAGGAGTGTCCTCGGAAACTCAATTCTTTAGTCAAGGATCATTGACAGTAGGCGACACGGTCTTGCCGCTTCCTACGAGAGCTCACTCAAAAGTTTCACTCGCATCAGCCGAATGACAATTTCTTTTTCTTTTGTTATTTTTTTTATATAGAATTAAAACTAAGTCATTGTACAAAAATAAAAAATTTACGATAGCAGTGACCTTCATTGTAAAAATCATTGACAAGTATTCATGGTAAAATTCTTCTTTTTTTTTTAAATAACTACTTTCTGAAAGAAAGACTTCACTGTAAATTCTTACTGATAGGTTTTATTCAAGAACATTTTATTTAAAGATTGAACAAAATTATGTAAGTACAATAGTGTATGTTATATTAAATATATCCTGTATATAAATATAATCAATTTCTTTTTTAGATACATGCCACATTGTTTATAGTGGTGGTAATAAAGACAGTTTGCGAAATATATTGTTTTCTCACTTTAGTTTTCATGTTATTCATAAAGATGATTTAAATAAAACTAAATAAGGTTTACATCTTATAGTTAAGTAACCCGATATTTGTGCTAGTCGATGAAACATCCAAACCTTATTTCTCAGTACCACGATCGAGAGTGATAAGTCAGACAAAATGGGTGCGTCAGTACCAGGGTTGGGTAAGTTAACTTTTTTTTTTAACTAAGTTAAGTTAAAGTTAATGGTTTTGAAAATTTAACTTAGTTAAGATAAAGTTAACCCATAATGAAATTAATTGAATTAAAAGTTAAGTTAATAAAAAAAAGTAATTAAAAAGTTAAAAGTTAAATTTGTTTCATTTCATGACTTCAGGGTTTCAGTTTTACAAATAACGGAAAAAACAAATATAGACCTTATTTAGAAACATGTTGTATTTACAGATACTTATTAAATTTAAGTAATAAAGCTTTTTAGAAATTTTTATCGGACATTTTTCCTCGAAAATTGTCGAAAATGAGCCCTCCTACATTGAACAACTTTTCGATGTCTCGCAACACCTTTATGACATGGTTAACTTCAAAATAATCGAATTAAAAGTTAATAATTAGCGATAAAATGTAACTAAGTTAAGTTAAAAGTTAAAAGTGTAAAAATGTAACTAAGTTAAGTTAAAGTTAAGCGAGCAGTTTGTTACCACAACTGCTCGCTGAGCACTCAGTGAACTCTTGCATCCGATTGGTAAATATTTTTAGATTTAAAGGAATATGTCAATTAAAGGAACATATCAATCAGATGCAAGAGTTCACTGAATGCTCAGTTAGAGGAATGCTTGTAGTACCAGATGTACTTATTGTTATTTATGGTGTTGTTATCATTTATCGTTATCTATTGTATTGTATTGTATTGTTATTATTTATTAAGATTGGAGTCTTTGCCCACATTATATTATTAAAAATAAAAATCCGAATAGGATAAGCTTCAAAGTGGCTCAAATGAAGCATGTAGTACATATAGAGGTCATGCATTTAGCAAAATTTAATGAGAAAATGACAGTATTGAATGGAAAGACTACTAAGGGTGCGTTCATCTTGGACATTTTTTCGCTAATAGCGTTCACAAGCGTCGTTTTCGTCGTTCGTCTTGGCGCTTTGAAGCGTTACAGAGAGGCCATGACGTCACAATTTCATGGCGAAAATGTCATCAATTTACGCTACTATTCACTATCTCGAAATAGGTAAGTCTTCAATAGCGTAAGTACTACTAGACGAACACAAAGTATAGCAAAACTTAACCTAAATGTAGAAAAAATAAAAAGAATATAATTCAAGGTGAAAGTAGAGATTACTCCAACATCACAAAGAAAGAAAATAAAAAGGAGCCAAATATACAAAAACAAAATGGATTGTATTATAATATTTTTTTTCACATATATTGTTTATTAAAGCCATTTCTTCTTCACCTTCATCATTTTCCTCTAATGAGGATGAAAATATTATTGTGTACAATTCTTGCATTGCATATATCAGCAATTATTTATTTTCTTTTAACGCGTTCGTCTTGAGACTAACGTTTCCTCGCTATAGCCAAGATGAACGAACGAAAATGCTGTAAGCGTTAACGCTATAAGCGAAAAAGTATACAAGACAAACGCATCCTAAAAGACTCATTGAATTTAAAAACATCGAGAATCGATCATCGAAAGACAATCGATCCTTTAACAGAATCGAATGTCGATTCTGCTTCCTTCTGCTTTTGTTCGTGGCGCCACTAATACAGCTGTTATGAATGAGGTTATGTAGCACATGGTATACGATCAACAGATATTGTTGAGACAATAGTGATTTTTTCAGTGAATATAAAAAGGGTAAATCATACAATAATCAAGACTCTTATTTATACTTTGTTATTTAATTTACTTATATTTTCGTCAAATCTTCATACATCATGTACGAATATATATCTGTAAATATTTTTACAGATCACACAATTAGCCTTAAAATGTCCTCGTGGAAGAAAGCTGGAAAGGTAGGCCAGAAAACTCACCGGGAACGTCATCAACCAGAAGCCCGCAGACACCTGGGCTTGTTGGAAAAGAAGAAGGACTATGTCGCCAGAGCTAAGGATTTCCAGGAGAAGCAGGCGACGATCAAGCTTCTGCGGAAGCGTGCACTCAACAAAAATCCGGATGAGTTCCATTTTCATATGATCAATTCCAAATTGGAGAATGGCGTACACAAAGAAAAGAAGCAGGCAGAACACACACCCGAGCAAATCAAGCTAATGGAGACACAGGATATCAAATATATAGCATATAGAAAACATCTTGAGTCAAGGAAGATAAACAAGTTACAGAGCGAATTACACATGATCGACACAGCTAATGAGACGAAGAATCAACACATCTTCTTCGTAGATAACAATGAGGAGATGAAGAATTTCGACCTAGCTAAGAAATTGGACACTCATCCTGCATTGCTATCCAGACGAATCAATCGACCAAGAATGAGCCAGCTGAGCAAGATGAAGCTGCCAGAATTAGATGAGAAGGCTATGGCCAAACTCCAGCAGAAGAATCACATGTCTTATACAGAACTCGCCAAGAGGCTCGATAGAGAACGCGAATTAACGATCGTGCAACAAAAATTGGAAATGCGTACTGCACTGAAGGACCAAAAGATCACAAAGCCAAAATGTATAAAGCCTGGTACAAAGGTTTCTGCTCCTATCTATAAATGGAAATATGAGAGAAAACGATGACTTATGTAAGTGTACGTACATATATATATATGTGTTTGTATTTCATAATTTTTTATTACCATTATTAAATATCACAAAAAAGTGTACATATATGTTACTTTTATTATAAATATCAAAGTATATATTTATTCATACGTTATTCTCTAATAATGTATTATTCCTCATCCCCTTTCTTATTAACAAATATTGTGTATATGGTAATGAACATAATAATAAACATGTGACTCATTAGGAAACATGTAGTTTCACATGTATTGTTTAGAATTATCAAATTATTATAAATTTTGACAGCTGAGTTTAGAGTTTAATGTTCAAGAAGATGAAGAAGAAAGAAAGGAAAAGAAAAATCTGCTTGGATTATATTCCAAGGATAATCGATTATACTTAATCAATACTTATGATTTAAAACAAGATTGTCAACTAGGTCTTACCTATTGAAAAAACTTACTATTACCATTACTAATCTTAAAATATTACTCATTACCGTTATTGGCATTAAATAATTAATGATTTATTATAAGATATATTAAATTAGTAGTTTTCATCAAGTTTCAAAAAATCTTTTCTTAACAGTTTGTCTACAGATACATTTATTTTACACATTCACAAATAAATCTTAAGGGTTTCAATTATATTTGTTACTATTATCCAAAAAATATAATTTTGCTACTTTGTTACAGTTACATTTAAGAAAAATAATGTCCTTATTAAATAGTTATAGACAAAAAGTAACTTCTAATCTTAAGAGAGTACACATCAAGATTACTCATTATTTATTAAACAAATTTACTGTTACCATCTTGAAAAATTACTTATTACCTGTTAATCTTGAAAAATTACTTATTACCGTTATTGGTATTAAATATATAATTAATTATTGCAAGAAGTACTGAGTTACTACTATTTTCATTAAGTTTTAAGATTCTTTTCTTGATTATTTGATATCGCTTGTCTCAGATATATTTATTCTACATTCACAAATCAATCATAAAAGTTTTAATTATATTATTACTATTATCTAAAAAATGTAATTCTGCTACTGTTACAGTTATATTTAAGAAAGTTAATATGTTTATTAAATAGTTACAAAAACAAAAAGTAACTTCTAATCTTAAGAGTATTATATACTAAGGTTACTCATTTTCTATTGAAAAAACTGACTACCATTACTAATCTTTAGAAATTATTCATTGCAATTATTCTCATTCATAATGTAATGAGTTGTTACAAGAAGTACTGAGCTAGTACTATTTTCATTAAGTTTTGAAGATCCTTTTCTTGACAGTTTTGTCACTCATGTATATGCATTCTACATATATTCACAAACTGACCATAAAAGTTTCAATTATATTTGTTATTACTATTCAAGAAATGTAACTCTGCTGTTGATATAGTTACATTTAGAAAGGTTAATATTCTTAGTAAATAATTACAGACAAAATGTAACTTATAATCATAACAGTATTATGTAATGCTTATTTCCCAAATCTAATATATGAGATTAATTTGTTTAAATGATAATAATATGATAATAATATAATAGTATATAAATATGGATTCTTTTTTAAAAGGTAAAACTCCTGTACAATATAGTTTTACTGTTTCTACAAAAAACAGGAATCTCTCTTCCAAGAAATTACTTGTGCAAGTTAAGAAAATTAGTGAGTCCAAAATTAAACATGTTATTGCTTGAAATGTTACTAAATGTATTATACACAGTATGAAAAGATGTACAAGTAAGTTTATAAAATTTGAAAATATGTATATTAAATAATAAGATAAAAACTAATAAAAGATATAAAAGATAATAAAAGATAATACTAATAAAAGATAATACTTTATTCTTTCAAAGCACAAAACGGATTAAACTCTTGTATATGTATAGATGATATAGTGGAACTATCACAATAGATCAAGCAATCTTTATGTATTTCATTATATTTTTGTTTAAATAATCCTAACATTTAAAAAAATGTTTCAAAACACTACTTAGAATTACTAGCTAAATGTGTTTATTCCTGTTAATAAAAAATAAGAAAGTAGCTATAAAAAAATATAATTATCGCTTATCAATCATTTGAAAATATGATGCACGGTGTCTGTGGATGTGTGTGCGCGCGCGTGTGTGTGTGTACTCCCATTTTTCTCTTATTTTATATTTCTTATTTCTACCTTGTATTATTTATAATGTTCCTTATATTTTCATTAAATTTATCACTTATTTGTTATTTGCACTCACATTATTTTTTAATCAACAATCATCTGCTCCGTTTGATCAGAACTCGTTTCCAACACCTCAGTCGTTCCATTCGCTTGACCTGTTATCCCAACTGTTCCTGCAGAATTCACTTCCGACATTCTCATAGTCATCATTTGCTCCGTTACTATTCTTGTCGTTGATTCTGTCATCGACAATTCTTCGGTAGGTCTATATTCTATCAGAGTATTTCCTTCGTTTTGTCTATTCGTCATTCTCAGCGTGATATTTGTGGGAATCGTCGGTAACTCCGTCAACACGTTTATGCAATTGTAATTGATCTGCCACAGCTGTTTTTTGGCGTAAATGTCTAGACGAAGGCAAGCCGTGATGGATCTGAGTAGAAAGAAGGATTTGAATAACAGAAGTCGCAAGCTAAATTGAAAAATAAATGCCCAGACAGAGCAAACTTTATAACAGATTTGTTAAATATTAGATGCGCAAATAAATTCGGTGCCTTTATCTTTAATCAATTATAACTTCAGTTTAAATTCAAATTTCTTCCCGTCGTTTAGCGCGTTTTGAAGTGCCAATTTTAAGGTTTAAAATGCGCTAATAGCTTGACGAAGCAGACACC